AGCAAACGGACACTCTGTGGACATATGACAGCAATGAGTTACTGATGGCACCGGGCCAGATTTAGTGGAAAAAGTTGATACCCGTGTGTCGGCAGTGCCGTAAAATCCAACGTGGTTGCAGTGAGTCCGCAGTCGCTGGAGGTGCACTCCTTGAACTCTTCCATGAGGTGAACGGTTTATTACGGGTAAAAATCCAAATGGCTATATAGATGTGACAATCCTAAAGAGGAAGTTGAACAATTCTGGCTGTTATGCACATGAGCAAACACGTCCGAGATTTGAATGACGGGATCTGATAAGCCTCGAGTCACAGAAAAAAAGCAACATAGGCTTAACTGTCATATTCAAATATCCAAAAGAAGGATTCAATGCTGCTTTGGATATTGCTTTGTGTCTGATATGTTTGTTTTTGCTCCTAAAAAAAAGTTTAATTCTTTTTTATAAATATTGCACATTGGAAGAGTAAAACGTCTCATTCTCATTATATGAGAACCAGAGGTTTCAAGTTCTCACATCTGTGTAGGGCGCTCAGTAAAACTGGCTTCCAAACTATTCTTGATGACACGAGATGTTGCTTTTCACTTCTACAACGCAACTTTCCCCCTTTCGCAAATGAAAGTAGAAACAGACCACTAGCTTTCAGCTGTAGCATCAATGAGTAAAAACACCTTTGAGTGGCAAAGCACAAAGTAGACACACTTGGGCCTCATTGGCTTCAGTTGGTGTTGACTCTGCAGATGAGTGCCTTTGTCATGCTACACGGCTTTGATCTTCGGGTGATCCGACTAAGTATTGAAATGAGTGCACTGCTATGTGAACATGTAACCAATTTAGACTACATCAACAGCGGTCCCCTATAAATATAAATGATATCCTAAGCTCCTCCTCTTCGGATGCAGAACCTCTATCCGAATGAGCCACAAGTACCCTGTGTTTGGTACAAAGGGGCTCAAATTCTCCAAAAGAGGAAACCAACCAGCACCTCCAAATCCCTTAACCAAAATATGGCAAAAGTGGCAGACACGCCGGGTTGATGGCATTCAAATGATGTCCTCGGTTGTCCATTAAAAACACACAAGTCAAAGCAAAACAAAGGGGCTCCGAGGGACGGCGTGGCCAAAAACCTCACGCAAATCATCAGCTGTTGACTAACACACCACCTCATGACTATGAATGCACTCTTTAACACCATCTCCTGACACACACACACACGTAACACGACTCACACACTTTGGCACTAGCCAAACTAACCAAATGCGCATATACAAATATTCAAATAGCACACACCCCAACAAAACACATATGTTTGCATATAAGCTCAAACACACACAAACGTACAGAAAAACACACACACACACACAAAGACACACATAACTCCAACGCTCTTCTTGTGGTAAGTGGGACAAGAGAGTGGGATCACTCCATTTGTCGTCCCACACAAAGCTGCTTGTTCAGTCATTATCTGAGAGAGCCTCTTCTCTCCTCTACAGGAAAGATGACCGGGTCACAGCTAAAATAGCCACTTCTCCCTCATGTCACCCCTCTCCCCCCCTCTTTCCAGCTCTCTCTCTCCCTCCTCTTTCATAAACAAAGCTCAGTCATTTGTTTTAACCACTGAAATCAGAAAGAAATGGGACATTTGCAAACCAAATGAGACGTGTATGTCAGGTTCTTATACCCCATCCAAAGCAGAGGCTAATTGTGTGCTTCTCCACTCTAAGCAAATGACTGTGGGAGGGGGGACAGACCTCTGAAGTGAATGAGGCCACGGGCTATTTGTTAAGGAAATCAGGGGGCCAGTGAGCTCATACGCATTTCCCTGTTTGCCTGGTGGTTGTTGCTGTCTGATCCCCTGAGCCGTCCAGAAAGTATCAGCGAGAAAGGTTCGGACGTTACAGGTTGCGTCTCCCTGATCAGATCTGAGTCGTGTTGCTAAACGCCGTGGAAGCACATGAGCTCTATTCTAAGAACGTTTGTTTCTAACTATGCAAGCCAATAATAGTTACTTGTAATCCTGTAATCTTAATCGAACGGCACAGTCAGTGGACTGTGGAATGAAAAGAAATGTGCTGCCGACCTGACCTGAAAGGCCAGTGTGTAGCATTCCCGTAAATCTATCGGCTATCTCTAGTGTAAACTCCTGAAAACAAGACATGTGTTGTAGTTAGCTGACAATCAAAAGTCAAGTTGTGTTCATGGAGTCCACCACCCTGCCTGGTGAGAGAAGTTTCCGTTGAAACCTCCCCATTACAGTTGCATTCTTTGGCAGTAACATTTCAGAAAGGATTAGTGTGGCTTGTTGGTGCTGAAATAATTTGAGGCACTACGATGTGTGACTGACGGCGGGCCGCCTGATGACTAGGTATCAAAAGATCTTGGTTTTCTAGAGGAAGTTTTGCGGTGAGTGGAGGATGTACTGTGAGGAACAGGTGTTACCAGATGGATGGAGTTGGTTTGTGGTAATTAAAAGGAGAGTGTCTTTATCTGTTACATATTTTGAATTACCTTAAACATAATTATATATCGATTATCATATGAGTATCATTTGAATGACAAAAAGAGGTGAACATCAAATGACATACTGCTTAAATTAGTTAACTCTATTATCATACTCTGTGGACCTTAAAACTACAGGATTGCCCTTTTTGTCCAGTTAGGCCTGTGAATTCAGCAAATATTGCTGATGTTGGGATTGTTTAATAGTGCGAGATAATCTGATTGGCTCAGATTACTGAATATCTTAATGTGTCTGTGTGAGAAGAAGGGCCGGTCTCTCATATGGACTGGATCAGCCTCTACAGAGGTCAAAGTTCAGAGGTCAAGGGGAGTAGGGGTTGAGCACTCTAAGCCAATCAGAGGTCAGCGTGGGGCTGAGGGGATTTAAATGTGAAGTGACCAGTGCTTTAGACGCGTTAAGAGGGGCAAAGAAATCCCTCCCAGCCTGCTTTAGGACCCAATTTAAGCAATCATAAACGCTACCAAAAGACGGCTATGTTTGAAAACTGCGAGGTTAGCTGCTAGCGTGGACAGGCACCACCGCGTAAGTGTTAAAACAATCACATGCAGGCACCCGCTTTGGCTGCTCGATTGGGTCTAAGCAGTCACAAGGTGTCCTTCACTGATTTGTCACGCACCTATCACAAGACTCTTTTTCCGGAAGAAAACCAACTACAGCAGCCGTGATTATCAGTCGACTGGGTTAATTCAACATGGGCAACTGATTACAGGCGTTGCTGACCTTGTTGTCTATACTAGCAGGGGACATTTTATATCACTGTTGAGGGTCAACGGAGGACCTTACTTTTCTTGTTAATGTTTATTTTGTTTTGCACAATTATTGGGAAGTCACACAGAAACTGTAGATGAGCGAAAGCATTAATTGCTCTCCAGTGAGACAAGAAACTAATGGGAAAAATGACAACAATGAAACTGGTGAAACGAGTGAGAAAAGCGTGTTGACAAAATGGAATGACCTGTAATCTAAACTTGGATTTGTAAGTATCCATTTGAAAGTAAATGTCTTGTTACTCAGTATATAAAATAAAACTTTCCACCACATCTGTCTATTTGAGTTCATAATGGAGTTTTTGGGGGAAACATCTTGAGTATCAAGTATTACCTTTGATTATTCAGGACTATTATAATACTTTGTCGTATTGTCTGTAAATAGGCAACCAATCTACTCCCTGTTTACACCAAAACGTGCAAGCTCGTACATGTATTATATTCAATTTCAGGTGTGCAGGTAACAATGCTGGACAGAAACCATTTCTGTTTTAGAACCACAGTTTGAATCTAAAATCCTATTAGTACGTATGTAACCCCAGTAGCCGATTTCACAAAATTAATAGCTGCTCAGCTTTCTCACGCACAAAGTTACAACCTGTTGCACAAAAAAGCATGAAAAATTCCAGGACCAATACATGGCCTGAGGTAGAGAAAAAGCCCTGTGGTAGTTTATTCACTAATATTGTTTTTTATTGTCATCTGTTTGGCTGTATTGTGTGATTTTGTCGGTAGGCCAGGTCATCTTTAACTCAAGGTTGGCGGTTTTATTACCTTGTCCAAGTGACCCTGAGCTCGATGCTGAACCCCAAGTTTCTCCCCAGGCGCTTTACAGCAGGTCACTGCTCCTCAAAATGCTCAGGACTGATCAGAAGCAGAGGGCAAGTTTTATTTTTTAACCCTGCTTCACTGTCCCTGTCTAGAATGTATGGATGAGAAGATATTATTGTAATTACTTAATTACTATAAATAAGGATTCCCCTGAGAAAATGCTATTCTGTGTGTAAAATGTGTATTTATACTAAGATAAAACATTTTTAGAGTCACATAACTGGTGCCTGGACCCGACAATTTTATAATAAAGTTGCTGCATGGGGCTTGTCCCTGCACCCCCAGAAAGCTTTCGCCATAGGCTAAACACTGATGAAAATGAACTGCTTGAACATGTAGCCAGCAACAGATGAGGAGCGTAATTAGATTTGTTTTCTTTCAAGGGAAGTGGAACAAAAAAACTGAGCCCTATTAAATTAGATCAATTTGAAAACTGTATATTGCATAGACGCAGGAAAGAGGTCTGAGTTGATTTGCCATGACACTGGTTAGGAAAGTTCACGGCAGCTACTATGAAAGAAAGCGTTTGTGTTTCTTTGTGTATGTGTGAGGGCTGATTCGTTTGTGCATGAGCATGCACGTGCACGCGCACATCTTAAAAGCTGCTCCTGCTAAACCCACGTTACTTTGATTGACAGGTGGAACTTGCCTTCACACACCACACTGCCCGCCCAGCGTGCCTTCGGTATGGCAGCTCCTTCCTACGCCCTGATTGCTCAGAATCTGCGTAGCTCAACCAGGTCAACAGACTCGGTGCAGTTTGTTGAGCGCCTATTGGTCAGCTCTGCCGACCGCGTCACTGTCCCCACGTGGAGCGGTCGCCGTGATTGGTCCGGACCTGTTTGGTGGGCTGGCTTACATTTTCGGTTAGCTCGGCAGCGTGAAACCGCGTGAGAAAGTTGCCATTGAGGTAAAGCTGAGCTACACGGAGGATCCCCGCCGCCGCTCCGGGGAGTTGTTTTTATTCAAACCTACAAAATATTTACTCTTTTTTTCGTGTACTCTCTTTTGGATGCATTCAAACTCTGTGGGGAAGTAAATATTTCATATTTTTGGTAACTGTTCAACCGCCAACGGACGACCGCGGCGAATCTAGTGGGAACTCTTCACTGCAATTAACTTGTGTGTGCGTGTCTGTGTGGATTTGTGTGTGTGTGTGTGTGTTGCGCTGACTGAGAGCCCGCAGTTCGCGGCAGTCTGTTGACGGTCTGCTGGTTTGACTTTTCACTTGTTTGTTCGCCTCTCCGCAACGTTACTGGGAATACATCGGATCGTACCCCAAAGGAAACCGACGCCGGAGTGAATCGACTGGCTCCTGCTGCCCTCCTTTTTTTTTTTTTCTTCCCTCCCCGGTTTCTCACCTGGTACTCGCCGTCCACCCCTCCCCTTTTTAGCCGCCTCCGGCTAACTAGCGGTTTCCCTAGTTTTTCCGGTTGATTGACGGCCGCGCTGCCGGTGGAGGCGGAGGAGAGACAACGGCGCGAGGAGCGCGAAGCGGTCCGTGAACTCGGGAGGGAGCGCTCGATTCTGTCTACAAAGCGGCGACGGTTGGCGCTTACGACAACGGCCGATGGATTCGTGCCCGTGATCCGGAGCACCGCACGTCTCCACTCTGACCCGATTTGATCCCTCGAAGCTAAAGGAAGGAAACGGTCGCATCCCTCCCGGAGACGATCATGTTTCCCCAGGGGCGACACCCGGTAAGACTCGTGTCTTCGTGCTTTTAAAACAGTTGTTCAAAGCCGGCGAGATATCGTCACCGTTACCTCTTTGTTTGACCTGTGCGTCTTGTCGGCTTACTTTTAACCGCCTCCGGACTAAGCGCATGTTTGAATGAGTCTCTTTCTTCCTGTTAATCAGCCTCTGCATCTTCTCTGCGAAGCAGCATGTGATCGATAATGCTGTTTGCTTAATAACGGATCATAATTAAAAGTTGTTGACATGTGAGACCGGAGAGGATCAGATGCAAATTGTAGGCCACGCAATGAGGCACTATGATGTTAATAATCCTGTGTGTGTGTGTGTGTGTGTGTGTGTGTCAGACGCCGCACCAGGCTCCAGGCCAGCCCTTCAAGTTCACCATCCCAGAGTCACTGGACCGCATCAAGGAGGAGTTCCAGTTTCTTCAGGCCCAGTACCACAGGTGGATAATACAAACGAACACATTCACATGGAAGGCTACTCTGGCTTTTATGGGTGTTACGTTGGGACAATTTCTCCATTGTCATCTGCCCTCCAACGCCAAACCTCATCCTAACCACAGTCATCCCCTTTATCATAATGAACAAAACCTCAGTTCTGGCCTCGTACTAACCCATAAACCTGGATTACATAAACGTGCATGCACGCACTCACACACACAGGCTCCGCAGACCCAGGCCTCAGTGTTAGCGCTGACGCTGCGGTAGGTCGACGTCTGGGTGATGGTTGAGAACCAGAGGGTGGCGTGTGGGCTCAGGGTTTCATAAATCACTCCTTATTTTCCCCTGTGTGTGTAGTCGTGGGTTAAGAAAAGACTTCCCGAGTATGTCTGCAGATTTTCTTTGCTTTCGACTTCTACTTATTTTTGTTGTTCGAGACATTTGGCCGCGACAGGTGAATGCTACTGACCTCCAAACCGGCTGTTTTGTTTTCCCGCCTCCTTTTCCACACCACACACTACAAGCGTAGGATTGTAGCAAACACTTTACTGCCAAGAGACTCTCTCATAACTACAGACAGAACCATCTTCTCAATTTCACTTTCTAAGTTTATCCGTGGAGGAGAAATGGAACTGTTTAAAGTGTCTATAAAGTTGTTGTGTTACAGTTTCACATTAATGATCTACCAATGGAGAATAGCTGGAAGATCAACATCATCACTCTTCTAAATTCAAATGTTTCAAACCAAAAAAAGAGACACACGGGCACTTGCTTGTATTTGTTATTGTAACATTTTAGTAAATCTTGTGTTGTGTTTTTCAGCCTCAAGATGGAGTGTGAGAAGCTGGCCAGTGAAAAGACCGAGATGCAGCGACACTATGTCATGGTGAGATCTGAACCTGATGAACCCGCAAATATCAGATTCATTTGCTACAATTTCAGCAAATTTTCCATTCGGATTAAACTAAGCTCCAGATTTTTTACCAAATTCAAGATTTCACTAGGTTTGCTGTTTTAATTCTAAACAATGCAAGGTCAAATCTGACCGACTAAAGGCTATAAAAAATACTCTTACATTGAAACAAAACAAAAAGTAGACTTGAGTGCTGCACTGAATTGTTTGCAAGCATCTGCTTTGCCTCTCTGCGGTTGCTGCCGTACATGTAAAACACCTTTAATTCCACAAAAAGTAGTTTAGTTGCACTGAGAATGACCCGGTGCGACACAACAAAACGCATGCAAGGTCACGCACATTCTGAGCTGCTTAAGTTTCCAAATTCCTTTCACTGACATGACCTTCTGTCCTCAGTACTACGAGATGTCCTATGGCCTCAACATTGAAATGCACAAACAGGTACGGTTATGCTTATCCGTCTGCTGTTTTTCTGCACCCGGTGTGTTCCTGTTTGTCCCTGCACCTCTAGCTCTCTTCTCCTCCCTCCCTCCCTCTCTCTCATAGCACGGTTTTGATGTATTTGTGTATGTGTGTGTGTGTGTGTCTGTGATCGATGGGGCTCTGTCTCCATTTCCCCAGTTAGGGCCGGCCGGCTGAGCCCAAAGGCAGGATGAATGGCTCTGTAGATTGATTGGTGCTGTCTGGGGGAGCCGCCTGCTTTATTACATTAGAGGGGCTGGGCTGAGGAGGGCAGAGGAATCGATCATGGTGGGGCCGGCAAAGGAGAGACATGGAAGCCCCACCCCCCCCTCCTTTTTTTTTTTTTTTTTAATAAGCAGGAAAGGCAAAAACACGGCAACACACACTTTGTTAGAACAGACGCCCATGTGTGCAAACACAAAATTCAAAAAGGACACTTGTTGCAATGTAAGGCAGGGGCACCCGTCTACAGCCATGAATAATGTGTGCAAACATTTGGGGACAGGGCGATTAAACACGTACACATGCATCCCATTTGGGCATATACACATACATGGCAAACATTTATCCCAGTTAAGCAGGTAGACCCCCGGGGGGGGGGGGATGCCCCCCCCCCCCCCCCCCTCAGGAGTGGTGAAGGGCTCGCAGCGTTAAGCAGTAATTATCACAACTATCGACCAGTCAGACCAAATTGGAGGTGGATTGGCCTGGCTGCTTCACAGATTAGTTTTGTTCCTCATGCGCTCCATCTCCAGTGTTCTCCCATTTTTCTGACCCGAGGCCTCCTCCTTCCTTTCAGCCTTTCTCACTGTCCATCTCCAACTGGGGGATTTTTTTTTTCCTACCGCTACTCCCCGCTCCTTGTTTTCTCTTTATTCAGCTCTTTTTTTGTTTTATGTCCATGTGAAGCTACTGTCATTGTGAGGGAGATGCACCTCCTATTGTCCAAGCACACATAAACACACACACTAAAGCTCCAGGGGAGGTCATTAGCCTGGGGCTGCAGTTGTCAGAGCAACAAGCCTCTGTGGGCGGAGGAGGGGGGGGGGGGGGTACAGGGGATACACAACAAACTCACCTCCTGCTGAGGAGCTACGGATGTGTGTGTGGCAGCAATGTGCCAATTATATGTGTAATGGGAAGCTGGTTCCCTGTTAGCACATGGTGAGTGTGTGTGTGTGTGTGTGTACTTGCATCTTCTCTCTGTATTCTCAATTGAACCACTCTCTCAATTATATCATTATCCTGGGGAGGATGGCGAACCATAGCAATTTTCCAAACAATGTCGGTATTCAGGAGCTGATATGAAAACTGTTTTGTCAGTGCACATGAGTTGTGAGTTTCTGTTAACTTTTTTTTCCTCCAAATGTTCTTTATTGTGTGTAATGAGACCCCATGTGGGTATCCATGTTTTGTTTAATCCCTGTTAGTTTTGTGAGTTATCTTTAGTAAGATTATCTGAGTTGACCTGTTAGTAGTTGGTCAGACAAATCTCAGACGACCTAATCACTGAGCTATTATACAAGGCTAATTATAGGCTTACAACCCAGGGTTCTGAGAATGGCTGTGCAGAGGTAGTCTTCCCGAAACAGCTCTGAAGTCAGAGCTTTATAGGCATGGAATAAGTTGGACATCCGATTGAGTTACAGTGTGCGGAAGTCAGCAGCTCATTTGCCATTTGAGTCTGAAGACAAAGCGGTCACATTCAAAGGTCAGACTGACCTTCCCTTACTGCCTGCTGTGTGGCTCAATATGAAAATGTACCTGTCAATCATAAGCAGTGTGAAACCAATGTGCATTTTCACACTCTGCATGTACCCCATGGGACCCCAGTGTGCCCAGATGTTTAAATGAGCATTTCAAACTTTTCCCATGATCAAAAGCTTATCAGGCATGTTGTAAACTCCTGACACATGGAACTGCGATGTGCTCTGACGGCTGATAATTTAGACATATACGTATAATTACGTATATCATCGGTTTACTTGTATCAAAACACTAAGGGCACCAAGACTCTTGGCATTAGTAGTTTTTAATAATGTATTATTCATTATCTAATTATTATGAATCATATGCTGCTTACAAATGGTGTTAAGACGTTAAGCCGATCCTAATTCCATCTTGAATATCTATTCAAATTGCTGTGAAAGCCTCCTAAAAACAACTGTATTTTAAGTTTCTCGCCAAAAACACAGTTTTATGAGAATACATTTGTACACATCATGATAACAATATAATTTACGTTTGCCTATTGCTGACGGTCACAAACTGAAGCTTGAATGTATCATAATGTAACTGAATGGACGTAATAGGGAAAATGCTCAAGATTTTCACATGTTTTCACACAACAACAACAGCACATATCTCTTGGAAGCTTTCGCAGTGTGTGGGTCACTGTGTCTTTATGTGCGTGTCCAACGCTCCTCGTTCCCTCTTCACCTTGGCCCCCTTCGTATCAATTTGATTTGATGATATATGTAATACGAGTCCCCTTATCTGATTTGATACCACTGTGGGGGTATCTGGTTCCAGCCAATTGTTGCCACCTCCGGGGGTTTGGGGGGCTGGCGGATGTGTTGGCATGGATACCGGGGGAGAGTAAATGAAGTTAGTCACTGATGAGATTATGTTGAAGTGCTGATGGGAAGCGGAACAAGAGCACAGAGGGTAGATAGAGAGCGCTAAAGAAATACGACAGGCAAGAGAGAAACTTGAGCTCACTATGATGATTGGAAAATCTTTTTGTGGTGTCTGATGCTGAAAATGGCATAAACTAGATGTGTGTGCAGAGGCCAGGGAAGTGGCTGGATGTGCTTATCGTAGACCTTTGGGGGGTTGCATAGATGTGTTGGCCAATACGTTGTTGGGTTTGCTTGTCTTACTTTATTGCTGTTACTGAACAGCTGTCTTTTCCAAATGAATGTAATTATGTTATTTACAATTAAGTCTCTTCCTCCATCAGACTGAGATTGCCAAGAGACTAAACACCATCTGTGCCCAAGTCATTCCCTTCCTCTCACAGGAGGTAAGCATGTGTGACTTTGAGCTAAAGATGGCTTTTTTGCACAAGTGTTTCTGCCAGCTTTACTGATAAATTGACTGATCTTTATAAACATTGTGTTTGTTCTGCAGCATCAGCAGCAAGTGGTCCAAGCTGTGGAGCGGGCCAAGCAGGTGACCATGGCCGAGCTGAATGCGGTCATCGGAGTACGGGGCCTGCCGGGCCTTCCACCAACGGTGTGTATTCCTTTCACTCACCCGGTCTCCACGCTGTGCGCTTAGTTTTTTCAACTGTTTTGAAAACATGCAAATAATGTAATTCTTATTTCATATCAGCTTGCATGCTAATAATTATATTGCAGAAACCAAAACCAAAACACATTTAACATCAACCAACATGTAGGACCTCCAAGGAATTTAGGGGGAAACTAAACAAATAACAAAAGGAGATGAATTAAAAGCTAATGATGAAGATACTTACTCTTTTTTTATGGGCTCTGAGTCTAGAACTGAAGCAGTTGGATAGATATCGCCCATCCTTTCCCACTGTGAAAAGTATGAGAATGGCGGAACTGTCAGTGGCAGAATTGTGATGAGGTGTTTATTGAAAAGATGTCGGCATGTGATGAGTGATGGGGCATGACCGGCTATTCAGCTAAAGGGATTGGCACGGCGAGTGTGAAAAGACATTACAAAGGCCAACTTTTCGCTTGCAGTTTGGCTGTGACGTGAAGGTGAAAGGAGAGACGGGCTGGAGTTGTTGTTGGGTGGGATGTGAGGTATTTGAGAATGCTCTGCTTTATGGGAGCCGTAGGGGCTTGACCGGCGGGAGGTGAGGCCATGAGTGGGAGGGGAATGTGGGAGAAGTCCCCCGCCTTCTCCCACTAGCCTAGCAAAGCTGCGAGCAGTGGGTTTGAAGAGTTAGATGTGAGGTGGGCTTGTTAGTTGGCGTGGACTGATGGGGGTCTGTGTGTGTGTCTGATGGGGGAGCGGTGGATTTGGCAGTTGCTGTTTGAGTCTTAATTGCAGGATTTCAGTGTTTGTAAAAGGGGGGAGGGGAGGTCACAGCATTGCCCTTACACTCCCCTCTTCACCCACTCCTCCCCTCTCCCACGCCAGCCTGTCATTCACCCCGTTTGTGAGTTAAATGAGTGTAATGAAGCATGTTGCCCCTAACTTTACACATGCACGCACACACACACTAGCTCACACTAACATCCCATGACAAACCGGGCTCCTGTGCCTCCACCAATACTTCCCCTCCATTTACTTCATCAGGGGTCCTGTTTGCAGAAGGTTGTATGTGTGTGTTTTTGCATCTGTTTGTGTGCATCTCTGTGTAGCAGAGCGTGCATTTCTGTTCCCCACACATCAGGCAGGGGTAGGATCATTTTGTGAGTGTGTACGTGCCTTGTTTATCTAGATTGTGTCTGCATGTTAGTGTGATCAAGTATGACGCAGTGTGGGGGTGTTTATGTGTAGTTGTTTGTGTGTAGGCTAAAAGACTGTTGTGTTGTTTTGCTCTCATTCGTTTGGGGCAGGACACAGAGAGTGATAGATGGGATTGAGTCGAAAAAGAGAGGGCGGGGGCTCGGGAGGGGGAGTGGGTTAGTCAATTAGGTGAGATAAAAGTCGGTTTGACCTTCAGCACTCCTTCCACCCCTGCCGAGTCGCCTCCTGTGCCCCCCCCCCCTCTCTTCTCCCGTCCTCTCCCCCTTTCCTCCACCCCTCCCCGTGGCGAATCAGTGAGCTTGGATTCCCGCGGCTACTGTCTGAGGAGGCAATAACGATGTTTTGGAACACAAAGGCATTTCACGCTCAGACGAGCGCCTGATTTGGTGTGAAAAAAAGAGCAGGGCTGCCAGCCAAATTCTCTCTCTGACCCTCTTCTCTCCTTCTCTCCTCCCCTTCTCTCCTCAGCCGCCTCACCCCCTCACAAGACCTGACAGTGCAGGCAGCAGCTGGGGCTCCAGGCCCGCTCCCCTGCCCCTCCACTTCTCCGTCATTCCCTCCTTATCCTCCCCCTTGCTTCTCCCACCACATCCTCGGGCTCTGGGCTGTGATCCCAGCTGTCAGTATTGTTCAGTGTTTGACCCCAGAGGGAAGGGGGGAGGGGACGGGGGGGTGTTGGTGTGTGCGGGGGAGAGGATGTGTTCGCCGCCTTGTAGACGGCAGCAGCTCGTTGAAGCGCCGTAAACCCAGACACTGGAGAAACTGTCCCATCTGTTGAAGGGTTCAATACGGACAGAAATCTCTATTGATTAGGGTACAGAGTGTTATTGATTTCTTCCTATTGATGGCTCACTTTTATTCACTTGACAAGTTTTTGCTGTCAGACATAAATATTTTGCACTGGAGCTTCATTATACGTTTTCTTTCTTTTTTTTGTTGTTTGCTACGTTCAATCAGCTCCAATGTTTTTCCTGATAAAAAAAAGGCACGTCTTCTATTTCAGTGACGGATATCGTTTGTTTGGTATGCATTGGAAGCTTTAGACCTACAACACCTCAAGAAGACTCATCTGTGGTGTGCTAACCACCCCTTTCTCTCTTGTCTCTGCACAGCAGCACCTGTCCCATAACCACAGTGGTGCCCCTGTGCCCCTCACCCCTCACCCATCCGGCCTCCATCCCTCTCAGCTGGGCGGTTCAGCTGGTCTACTGGCTCTATCGGGGGGACTCGGTGCTCTCCCCCCTCACATGTTGGGAAAAGATGGCGGCGATAAAAAGCCCCACATGTCGGGGCCGGACTCACACGCATCAGGACCCGACCACCTGAGAGGTGAAAGAACACAGCGGAAGCACCACTTAAAATAGAAAATGGCTGACGTGGAAGAATTCCCCTTTAGAGCCAACATCCATTTCATTCAAATTGCAGTAAGAAATTATAGTTCTCAAAGCTGCATTTTTACTATATTCTTCATCTTGATTCTAAATGGTGACCAAATGGATTGGTCTGCTTCAGAGTCTGTTTTTCTTATAGGTTTGCTTTTTTAACACATTCTACTTCCTTTCTTATTTTTGTCATTTTCTGCTCTGTTGGACATCCAACCCTGTGACCTCCACCGCAAAAACGCATTTCCGATGGCAATAGAACGAGAGCCCGGCACTGTAAGTATTTCCTCTTTCTGCAGCAATGCTTATTGTTCTGAAAAACAACTTTGTCTATTTTCTTGTCTCTTTTTAAAGGAATTGTTCGGTTTAGGAATTGGATTTCTTTCTGATGCATTTTGCACTCAGTTTGACTTTTGACAGCTCAATAGTTCGATTAGTCTGTCTGAAAAGTCATTTAAACTGTCTGCTCTTAAGTAAATTACATACGTTCCACGGAATGATTAAATTGTTTTTATTTGCACAATATGATTGATACATAAGGGGGAAAAAAAGAAGAGAAAAATCTTATTTAAATGTTTTAAGCATCCCGGTCCAACCATTCAACAACTCCACATGCAGAAGTATTTTATTTTTAAAATTAGTATACTAAGGAGTCACAGCCATCAACATGAAATACAAGACTTGTAATTTACGATTATATCTCCGGTAAAAATGCACCTGTTGCTGGGGAAGGCCCTTTGTGTCGTTTTAATGGGATTACTTTTATTATTGCTGTAGTGACCCAATTTCCCCTCGGGGATCAATAAAATGTCATCTTTCCATGTCATTACGCATTAAACCCCTTGCATTAAAATGTACTTGTCTGTACCACTGAATTAGCTTTCGTCCTCAACTTGTATATTTTTCTGTGTGTGGAATTGGAGGGTAGATCTTTGGATGTTTTAGTTCTGCCCCAGATCTGCTCTAAACCGTTTTTAGAGCAGAGTAAAGGTTTATTTTCCGAATGATCTTTTTTAGCATGCGCGCGCACACACACACACACACACACACACACACACACACACACACACACACACACTCCTCCAGCCTAGCATGCATTGTTGTGCCTATTTAACACCTCACTGAGCAGATTACCCCCCCCACTCCCCTCCACCTCCTCCCCCCACCGCCCTTGATCCCACGCTTAAAGACTCTCATTGTGTTTAATATCACCACTACTGAGAAGGGAGGACTTGGCAAAGGGAGGGAGGTGGGGGCAGCAGTCATATGACACTGAGCTTGTGTGTGTGTGTGTGTGTGTGTGTGTGTGTGTGTGTGTGTGTGTGTGTGTGTGTGTGTGAGTGACCAGGGGGGGAAACTGAGGAGGGAGGCTTGGAGTGGGAGGGGGGGGGGGGGGGGTGCTTATGTTTTGCGGGTCAGTGCTCCTGTGCTCAGCTCACTAAAACCTTTCAATGAAGGGGGAAGGGAGGAAGAGGGGAGGGGGTGAAGGAAGGGGCCTTTGGCGGAATACAGATCCCCCCCCCCCCCTCTCTTTCCCTCCCTTGTCACCCTTTCTTCTCCTCCACACTCTCACACCCTCCCTCCATCCTCTCTGTCCTCTAATCTCATCTCCTCCCTTTTCCCTTTTTTCTCACCCTCCTCCTCCCCTCCTCTCTTAGCAATTCCTCCTTCATTTACCCTTTACTGCGGTCAAAGCTCCCTCGCACATGTGCACGCGCATGTGTGTTTGTGTATGTTGGATGCACATTTCATTGACGGGCTGAGACTATCATGGACTCAACATGAAGCTCTAATCCATTAACAATAGGATCCGTTAGTCAGGAGGCCGGAAGGGAGGGGGGGTGGGGGGAGACAGGTGTGTGTGTGTGTGTGTGTTTACGTACTTTTGGGACGCAAGGGTGTTATGCAAGTGACACACACACACACACACACAGGCATACAAACCTGCAGCTTGTCACAAGCCAGGAGAGGGAGCACTGATAGATTTTGAGAGCCACTTAATGTAATCATCAACTTCAGAGGCATGCGTTTGTGTGTGACTGGCCGTTGGTCAAGTGAGAAAAGAGGTTGCTGTTAAAGTGTTAGTGCTGCTTATTCATGCTCCTGTGACCTTTTAGCCTATTTGTAAGTAAGAGTCTGTTTTTCTAACCTGCTCCACACGTGGCTGAATAGCTGTTGTAATTAGTGGTGGATGTTTCAGACGGTTTAGTGAGCTCCAGCAGAACAAGCGCACACACACAGCTTAACACAAAGTAAACTAATAAATGACCAAATTGTCTCACCTCTGCAAAGCCCTTATCTTTTCTTTTTTTCTTTTTTTTTATCCTCCAACTCCTTGGAAACTTTTCATTCTATTATTTTACATGGCCTTTTATTTGTATTAATCTCTGCTCTCCTACTCCGTTTTGCTTTCATCTGCAGAGTAACTCATCCCTTCCAGAAAGTCTTAGGAATTCAGATAAGCGACGCAATGGACCAGAGTTTCCAAACGACACCAAGAAGCGCAAGGTTGAGGACAAGGACTCCAGCCACTATGTAAGTGGTTCCGCTGACTGTTTATTGTGAAGTGAGGGAATATCCTTTATAACTTGTAAGTGTTCATTTGACACATGCAATATTCACTGCCTCTAAATATTCACCTGCAGGTTCCTTCGAACGGCCTGTTTTAGTTGATCAATTCTGACTATCTGCTGTTATATATTTGTCTTCTAATTTATTTTCAGGACAGCGATGGGGAGAAGAGTGATGATAATTTAGTGGTGGATGTCTCGAATGAGGTCAGTATTTAACTTGTTTTGTTGTTGCCTTCTGTGTAGTCTTGTGGGTTATGCTTCCTATTTAAATGAACCACACTATATTCTGAGTTGTCTACTGGGCTGACCTCCTCGATTCAGGAAATTGTCCACATCACGCAGTGTTTTGTTCTCGGCTACTTAACTGAATCCATGTCTTTCATCAGGATCCAGCCTCCCCGCGTGGCACGCCTCTGCCCTCCCCTAGAGAAAACGGCCTGGATAAAGCACGTCTTCTCAAGAAAGACCCCTGTAGTCCAGCTTCTACTGCGTCATCAGCCAGCTCCTCCTCCCTCAAGTCCAAAGAGATGGCAATGGTGGGGATGGACAAGACACGGCCACTTAGGTTCTTTCAGAATATATTTGAGGGCTGAGGTTTGAATACATGTGTCAGTAATAACAGTCTTCTATCTGTGGCAGCGAGACAAAGCGGGAACACCTGGACTCAAGTCAAGCACACCCACACCCAGAGGGGACTCCACCCCAGGTCCGAGCGCCACTCCTGGAACCCGGCCTAGTCTATCAAAACCCCCATCAATGGAGATACCACATCCGGCCAGTAAGTCCAGTACAAACATTTTTTAAATAACTACATGATGGGTTGTTTTATTTAATTTGACTTATCTCTGCCAGAGAGCAATGCATCGTGTTCTTTAAATCGCCATCTGAAAACCATGTGCATGTCTGCTAGTATTGAAAGATAAATCTAATCCACAGAAATATTAGATTGGTTAGATGTGTCCTTTTGCTGCACTTCCACAGACAGAATTAGAATCAATGACTAGTACAAACGCGCCAATGATCGCGTGGTTGTGGAATATCAGTCTGATGGAGCTGTGATTTCAGATCTCGAATTCCCTTAGTTATTACCAGCTTCTTATGCCTCATGCTCCTTTGCTTCCCTCCCCTCCCCCAGCTGCAGGTCTGCGGACCCCCCTGGCCGTACCCGGCCCGTACCCGGGGGCCTTTGGTATGTTACCGCATGGGGCCGGGATGAACGGGGAGCTGGCAGGTGCAGCCGGAGCTGCAGCCTACGCTGCTGGATTGCACAACATGTCGCCTCAGATGAGTGTCGCTGCCGCGGCTGCTGTGGCTGCGTACGGCCGTTCACCTATGGTGAGTGGGAAAGCTTGCGTTTTGGTAAAATATTAGATGATATTTAAAGTATCAAAAAGACAGAGGCAGTTGGCTGTATGAAAAATGATATATATATTTTTTTTTATACAATACTCATAATTGAATTTTTTTTTTTACATAAAAACCTTCTAACCAATCTTTGACACCTCCGTATTTTGCGTTACAATATTTAATAACTGGATGTAATTTGTATTTTTTAAATCTGATAAACAAATCTATGTTAAGATAATTAAAAATACGAATCGCAAACTTTAATATTTAGAAGAGCTTTGCTTGGCAGAAACTCCAGGTATCAGGTTTACACATCTGATTAAATCATTTTAGTAACTGTACAGCAAATGTATTGATTTTTTGTCTTCACAATGTAGCTTTTGCCAGAAAACTGTTTATTGCTTTAGTTCCAACAGTTGCATGTTCCAGATATCTAAATTAAAATCACTCACTTCTTGATTTCAATCCAACTGACCATTTTCAAAGTTTAAAAATCAAAACTACATTTACAATGTCTACAACTTAATGTTTAAAGAAAAATTAAATTGAGTGGTTAATCCATGTTGATACTTTTCTTGAGCATTATAGACTTTATACTGCTGCGTGTAAATAGTTGCACAGCTGTATTTCTCACGTGTGAGTGACAGTATTTATATGTTGGGCATTATGTTCAATCAGACCCATCGCTCTTTACTGTATTTGCATTGTGGTAATTACACTGTTTAAAATGGGTTTAGTAGACTCACAGCTGTCTCCCGGCAACACTTGATATAAACTCAGGTTGTGTACTCACCGTGTGTGTGTGTGTGTGTGTGTGTGTTGGATTGTGGGAGAGCACAAGTACTGACCGCTCTGCCTCTGCGTGTTTGCTGACTCTTAAACTCATCATTCAGATGCAGAGGGTGTGTGTGTGTCCTCCACACTGTTTGTTTGCTGTGTTCTCATGAGTGTTTGTGTTCCGTTCCAGAGGTTAGTATTGACCTCTGTGCATTTTGCCAAGGCCCATGGGTGTGGGTTTGCACTGTGCTCATAAAATATCTGTGTTCTATCATCAAGGTTGGTTTTGATCCTCATCCTCACATGCGAGTTCCTGGAATGCCTCCCAGTCTGACAGGAATCCCTGGCGGCAAACCGTGAGTGTGTTTGCGGCTGCTTATTTGTTTGAGGGCCGATGTCTTAATTGCCCCATGAAAAAGTGATGTGTCCTAAAAAAAATGGCTCATTCTAACTTTCGTTCTATATTTTATCCTCTTCTCCCTCCGTTTTTTTCTATCACCAGTGCTTATTCTTTTCACGTGGCGGCCGACGGACAGATGCAGCCGGTACCGTTCCCTCCAGATGCTTTGGTGGGCCCGGGGATTCCTCGCCACGCCCGTCAGATCAACACACTGAACCACGGGGAGGTGGTGTGCGCCGTTACCATCAGTAACCCGACCCGACACGTATACACAGGAGGAAAGGGTTGCGTCAAGGTTTGGGACATCAGTCACCCAGGAAACAAGAGCCCGGTGTCGCAGCTCGACTGCCTGGTGAGTGAGCCGATGGGTGGGTTTATAATACAATGATTTCTCCACCGTAAAAAACGCTTGAATTGGATTGTATTAAACTATGTATGTAACCGTACACGTATGTATGTATGTATGTATGTATGTACGTACACAAAGTGTAGAATTGGAATCATGCAAAAGATTAAATTTGTTCACTGTGTCTGTCAGAACCGAGACAACTACATCCGCTCCTGTCGTCTCCTCCCTGATGGTCGCACACTGATTGTGGGAGGTGAGGCGAGCACGCTGTCAATCTGGGATTTGGCCACGCCCACTCCCAGGATTAAGGCAGAGTTAACATCATCGGCACCGGCGTGTTACGCTCTGGCCATTAGTCCAGACTCCAAGGTCTGCTTCTCCTGCTGCAGCGATGGAAACATTGCGGTCTGGGATTTACATAATCAGACGCTAGTCAGGTAAGAGACTTTGATGCGTGTGCACCCCTTTACACAAAAGGGAGATGCTTATTGTCAGTGTCTTCTCTGACCATCTTTCAACCACAAAATCGAGAGTGGCACAAGAGTGGCTAATGATGGGAATATTGTAAGAACTTCACAGCTTTGGTAGTGTGTGATATACACCAACTGCCCGGGTGTCCTCTAATTCCTAGTGGGCCTTTTTCAAAAACACATTTTTGCTTTGTTTATCTCTGATTGTATGTGTGTATCCTGCAGGCAGTTTCAGGGCCACACAGATGGAGCCAGCTGTATAGACATCTCCAATGATGGCACCAAGCTGTGGACCGGGGGCCTCGATAACACTGTCCGCTCCTGGGATCTGAGAGAGGGACGGCAGCTGCAGCAGCATGACTTCACATCACAGGTACACACTTTTTTCAACAAAAAGTCCTTCCTTGAAAAGCGTTGTTAAAGTGAAACTAAATGAGACTTTGGCTGCCGGCTAAATGTAAGATTGGCTGCCTCTTCTGTCCAGATCTTCTCTCTTGGCTACTGTCCGACAGGAGAGTGGCTCGCTGTTGGAATGGAGAGCAGCAACGTGGAGGTCCTACACGTCACCAAGCCTGACAAATACCAGCTTCACCTCCATGAGAGCTGCGTGCTGTCCCTGCAGTTTGCCTACTGTGGTAAGCAACACTGTCAATTTACTGATTGTGTCCTCCTTGCACTTGTTGTTGCAACCTTAAAACCATCACCATTGTAATTTGTTCTACCTCAGTGTTGTTTCCCCCTTTTTTTAATTAAATATGACAATATAGTGAAGTGGAGGAAGTTGCAATTGCTTATTGTGTTTGCGTGTGTCTCTTTGTCCAGGTAAATGGTTTGTGAGCACAGGAAAGGATAACTTACTGAACGCTTGGAGAACACCCTATGGAGCCAGCATATTCCAGGTTGGGACAACAAATCGCTTCATGTTCTTTATAATATCTTTTAATATAGAAAATAAACATTTCCAGCAGTACAGCATTGTTTTGGAAACACAATGCACTTATTAGCTGCATCAGCATGGATTTCTCTGACGTTTTTCTTGATTTCTGACCAACTTTTTTCTGTTTTTTCCTTCAGTCTAAAGAATCGTCTTCTGTGTTGAGCTGTGACATATCTGTGGACGACAAATACATCGTCACTGGTTCAGGGGACAAAAAGGCCACTGTTTACGAGGTCATCTACTAAAACTACAGATAGAAAGCAAGGACATTAATTCCTTCCCACGCAGGAGCCAGAAATTTGCAAACACGAGTGACCTTGATTGCACTTTCTTTTTTTCTGCTCTATCTGCTGAGGTGGCACAGAAAGGAGACAAACATTTTACATGCACACATCTGTTATGATTGTGTACATGACTGCGTATCAGCTGGGAATTGACTGGAGCAGCTGGATGTTTAATGGAGGGAGACAGATTATTTTGATGTTCTCGTCTCCACCGCTTTGTGCTCCGGACTGCAAGGGAATCAGTTACAGGGACCAAACAAGGACTGGCGCTGCTTTGCTTTGACTGCGACCAGCTCACCTGGAGAACGCTGCACCGAGCATTAGATTTTAAAATACACTTGATTCAGTGTCACGACCAGGGGCAGAGAGCCCAGGAGGAACACTCAACCAGGAGGACCAACACCTAATCAAATGTCAGACGGGAAGAGGAGAATGGGGACACAATCTCTGAGAGACGGAGCAGGACGGTGATTTAAGAGCATGTTGGATTGAATTTTGTCGCAGTCAGACAATGCTGGCGGCCTGTTGGTCTCTCAGCTCTGACTCTCTGACCGTGGAACCTCAGCTTGCTGCTCTGGCAAGCCTTCACTGAAAAGTACCTTTTCTGTCTGGACAGTAAGCCCCATCCTCAATAAAGTGCACTGTAACGGTAGCTGTCCACCCAGACACTGAGTACACACACACACACACACACACACTATGTTCACAGTTCTTACCGGCTTTGGGTGCCAGCCAAAAGTATTCACGTACTTTGGAGAACAATTGTTTTAAAAGAGAATTTACTCGAAACGTTGCTACAAATTTTGTTTCTTTCTAATGATCCGGCTTGAAAGACCGTTTATTGGAGAAACACGTTTAGGAGAATGAAATAATCCACATTTTGATTTATTGATCCTCGTTTTCTAGAACAAATTTATTTCTCAACCTCTATTGTTTTCACGTAACTGCACTCCACAGGCAACAGAAGCCGTCATGTGATTTCTTTAGCTGACTTTTTCTTTCTCCTTTTTCACGTCTATTTTTGAGCTGCAGTGTAAATTACAGGCAGCATGTGTTGAGCGGCTCGATCATTGGTCAGCTATTGGACATGGCTTCATTCAAACCGCGACTTCATGTTGAAGTCAAGACATCCGCCTGCTGTTTTAATGCACTACATTTGTCTGTGCCCTCTGTACAATAAGTATTGGCTACGTTCATAATGATAAGAAATAGTAGTGTCTAAATGATCCTTTTCTGTTCATTTAAGTCAAATAACATTTTCAATTCCTTCACTAAACAAACCTGAAAACAATTTCCTTTTTTATAATGTTACTTCTTTCTGCTAACATTGTTGAATGGGGGACATCTGTGAAATTGTCTTGAAGTACAACTGTGTCATGTTGTCTTTTCTCCTTGAAAGCCGATTAAACCCCCTGAGCAGAATCCCACCGTTAGTCAATAGTCCACCGGTGGAAGGTGCAGTTGTCCTTCAGCTTCAGGAAGTATTCATTTCATGACTTATTGCTTACTTCTGTTTGTTGAATGTTTGTAAAAATGTAAATATGTTGTTTGTTTTTTTTCATACAGGACATGCTTTAGAAATAAGTGTTTTTGTACGTCTTTTACATGGAAAGAAATGTCTAATCAGGAGAAATACTAAATGGTCTTAATGCTAGCTAATCTAAAATCATTGAAATATCTAGACAATAAATGTTTTTTTTTTGTAACTGGAGTGGTCTTTGACTCTGAGGTAGAAGGACACGTCGCTGATCAAATCTTTCGAGGGTTTGGGAAATCCGCATCATACATAGAAGGTAGTTCGATTCTGAGTGTTGATTCGTTTCCAATAAAGTTGCGATCCGTCTCCAGATCCAAAGGTCACAGTCTGCAACACTGACCGCCTGCCCGCTCAGGCCCCCTTAAGAGCGTTCAGTGATGAATTCAGTAGGTCCTGAAATGTGCCTGAATGGAATGGAGCCTCTGCCTGTTTTAATTGTGCGGGCGACTCCACTTGACCCGTCAATTAACTGGACAAAAAGGTTTTGCTTGAAAGGTGCAAGTGATTAGCTGCACATCTTACATTGCTTTAATTAAACTCCTCGGCTAGACTGCAAGTGCCTCGTGCCCAAAAATATTATATCCGTAACCTACTTTTCTCCTAAAGTCCTGTTTGTCAGTGACACGAGAACGAGATAGAACTCGGATTACACGGCTTATGTTGTGTCAGAATTCAAAGCATCTTTGATTCCCACAAATTGTCTTACGTCCTAAGGATGTTGTGTTTTCCCTCGTGATTCTTTTACACGCATTATTGTTGCATATATGTTGACTGCAAACCAGTTTCACATACATCAAAATCCAGAAGTCTGTGTTGTTTCACCTCTAAATCACAATCCCATCAACTATTGAAATCGCTGGCATGTGAAACGCATTCTTCCAACAAAGTTACTCCCTGTTGTCTTCATGTCCCTTTTGACACGTGTACAAACATGAAGTCCAGTTTCTCCAGCAGAAACCAAACAATCTTTTTTAAATTCCAAAGACTGAAATAGGAAACCTGGTTTTACAATCTCTCTCAACGACTGCTCCTTCCTTCCAGCTGCAGCTTTGGCACCACGTGACCCGTCCACATTGTTTTCCTGCTTTTAGCTTCAGCTCCAGCTTGTGTGGTTCTGAATAGCATTAAGTGGGTATGGGGAAGAAAGAAGGAGCTGGGTGGCCCACTCAGCCAACCCGGGAATGTTTCGGTTTGCAGGAAACCGAAGTTACCGGTGAGCTTTTGTGGACTTTTTCTTTTTTCCCAGCTTGTGTGGTATTGATATGGAGATATGGACAGTAGCAGAACAGAGCAGCTGTTCAAATCAACTGTGTTAAATAACCAAGTCCAATCCTCTGCTTAATTCTAACACCCACAACAAACAGACTAGCTCTCCCATGATGTAAACTGTAAATCTGATTAATTACTGTGAATGTATCTCTGTGTGTCGCCGGCTCAGTCGGACACACCCGTGCGTCGTACGGTGTGAGGTGATTATGTGGCAATTTGTGTTGTAAAATGAAAGCTGATCCTTGAGGAAAAAGATTAATTGGGAAAATGTCACTCCCAAGTTTTCAGTTTATCCAAACAAAAATATCCGAGCTCTGAATCACAGCGTTCTCTTTTGATCACCACCGTTGCTGCCTCACTGATACACAGGCGGATTATTTCCCCTAAATCTCCCAAAGCCCTAATCCTATTTATCTCAATGCCACACAAAAAAAGGTGCTCTCTTCCTGCTGCCCAGCTTATGTGTACAGTACGGATGAGAGTATACTTGTATTTCTACATTCAGGAGGACCAGTTCAGGACAAGATTTAGAAACATTTCAAGCTGTACTTACATTAAAACGCTGGGTTTTAGGATTAACGGTCCTCATTTTAATGCTTCTAGGTATTTAATATTGGAGTTCCACACACAAACAAAAGACAAACAATTGTGTGATGGAGTGTGTATGTTTAATATAGTGGCTTTATTATTTTTGTGGATTTGGTAAGGCAGCTGAATATTAAACACGGAAATCAAAGTGCTTAAAACGGAATTCCACAGGTCATCACAAAATAACTTGAATTCTGAATATTTCTTTTTTGTAATAATCACGATTTCTTTTTAAACATCTGCACAGAGACCATAACGTTGCATTTTGGACGTGCGTTCCAAACACTCTCTGACACGCTCCAATGCTCCCCTGATTCAATTTAATTCACACAACTACGAGCAGGCGGAGGATGAGAGTGCAGCTGCTGCCATTGTGAATAAAACCAGTTCTTTAAAACCATTACGTCTTGTTATGCTGCCTTCCAGCCTCTTATTCCTGCGTTCTCTAGTCCCCTATCTCGGTATGTTTCCCTCTGTTCTACCTTCGTCTACCAAGGTCTTCCTTTTTTCTTTTTCTTTTATTTTCTCTTTGTCCTCCCCAGGCCACTCACCACCTCCCCTTCTTCCACCTTCATAGGCAAAAGAAGTGCCTATCTTTTACTTTATAAACCGATTTTCTCTCCCTTACTCCCGTAAAATAAGAAATACCCTCCTAATTCTCTTCTTCTGAGTTTATTGGCTTTTGCCTCTTTTTTTTGCCCATTTTATTTTGCCAAAACCTCACCAGGTTGCCCTCTTTCCTTTGCACTTGTGTGTGTGTGTGCTAATGAGCTTAAAGCTGTCTCCCTCCCAAGGTGATGCCATGCTGAGGTGATCAGCACAGCTGGAGCTGCAGGTATCAGCCACAAACAGCTGCCTGGCTGAGCAAGACCACACACCTACACACAAATGAACCCACACATATACACAGGAAGCTAATTTCCCTCTTCTCTATCCCACTCCTACGCATAAATGCAGAATAAATCTTTACTTTCCTGTCTCACATACTGTATACAAACACACGCATCAAATACTGTCTTTTTATATGCACATACAGACACACACACACAACTGACTGCTGCACAAGGGCGATAGCACAACTCTGTCCTGTCAACATGCAGGATAATCAGCTGCTGGGGATTGTGGGTAAGCTGTAATAATCCCTCGCATGGAATATGGAAAGCATCAGAGAGTTATTCAATAGGACAGAGATAAAGGTGTGTGCATGTGTGTGTCCGTGTCTGTGAGTGAAGCGTTTCTATCTCTACATCACCACCTATAGTTTACACACACAAACACACACACGCGAACATCAGTCTACACCAGCAGCTAAATATGAGCCCGCCCCCCTTCAGATGAAGCTGAAATGGTTTGTGCCAAAAGGAGCAACTAAGTCTTAATTGAGAACCACATCCAGAACGAGGCTCATTTAGTCAGAGAAACACCGGGGAATACTGCACCATGTTTGTCTGACAAGTCGCAAACTCTTTACGCAGCAGAGCCTTCAACTCACATCTTCATCACAACAGTGAGTCAAATGAGGGTGTAGTTTTAGGGATGCTGCCCCAATGCGTTTTGTATCTGCTATCCAAAATCCAAAATGATTATAGGGTGTACTGTGTCCCCTTTTGACCCGTCACACAAGTAAATATGCAATTATTTAATAAATAACATATTCCTTATTGCAATTTCCTTCATGTCAGGAATACATATTGTACAACATATAAAATATGAAATCAATGTTTCATATATTTTATACTAAAATCCAAAATATTACAGTGGAGTAGGTGAAAAAAAGTAAAAAAATGTAGTATAGTGTCTCCATTACAGAAGTTTTAATAATCCTTCGAAACCGTAGAATGGCATGTCAGAAATATCATAGCGTGTTTGTCCCAAAAAGTCTTGGAATGGTATTTAACATAAAAAGTCATAGCATATCATAAAAGGTCTCATGAATAGTGACCGAATATCATAGAAACATATTCTTTCATGTCAGAAATATAATCAAATATTATAAATAATCTCCTGGTAAAGGATAAAATATATTCATTATGCAACACGGGATTTCGCAATGAGATGCAGATAAGAACAGAACACGACAGAACAAAAACAATAGTTCATTCCTGAAGTGAACTTTCAAATTGAAATCAGAAGTATTGTAAACAGCCCCAAGCAAAAGTTTCTGTGATGAGATAATGAGGCAAGCTCCATTATCCTTCAGTGAACTTAAATTAGTACATCAGCAAAAATGTCCTGGTATAATGCTTAGTCATCAAACATTTTATCATAGCAGGTAAAAGATGTATAAAAAATCATAGTGTATTAAAAGAAGTCAATATTCACCCTGTAATGAAAAAAGCGCCCCAATAAGGAGCAAAGAAATGGATGAACCTGTCTGCTGGCCAACACAAGGTGCATCTTGCGCCCTGTTAGGATGGCATTGATCAGTTCATATTCAGCTTCCATTCTATCTATTTGTCTCTATATATCAATTTTAGTTTAGTTTTTTTTTCAATTTTTTTTGTCAACATTAAAATAAAGAAAAAGGAATGACTTCATTAGTGATGATAACTCCTCTGGGTCATGCTAATCCCCTTTCTTCGTCTTCTTCTTCTTCTTCTCCTCTTTTTCAATGGGGCTCTGTGACTACACGCACACGCACACACACACACACACACACCCACACACACACACACACACACACACTTGGAAGGCAACATGCAAAATGTTCCATAATTATGCCGGAGGAAAGAGCTAACAACGGACGTGCATCCTAAACAGTTTGGGTCCTCCCCAGAGTCCGGATTTTCATGGTGTTTAATCAGTTAAATATGCACGTGGCTCTGTGGCTAATCTCATGGTTAATCTCACTAACACTTTTTATGGGATTGCTAGCTACGGCGAGGATTACCGCACCACAGATCACCACCGGATTTCCATAATCCTCTTCTTCTGATAAAACTCTGTTTGTCCCCCATCTCCTATTTTTTTTCAGGCTATGAAACATCACCCATTTATTTTGCAGATTTTTTTGTTTTGCTGAAGGATGATTTCTTTATTCTAACTCAGCGTCTCACTCTCACAATCAAATGGGAAAAGAGAACAAAAAATGGCAATAGGTGCATAAATGTAAAAATGCTTTTCATGCCATTCAGTCTTTACCGTATGATGATTGTTATTGTAGTATAATAGTGAGGCTGTGATTGAAATACTTTCTTTATTTTTGGATTACAGTTAAGAAATTGTTCGTCAGATGAAGAATGCAGAATGTATGTGTGGATATCTGATCAAAAGTTCAGTGAAGTTCTCGTTCAGCATTGCCTTACCGAGCCT